CTGCCTAACAATATTTCAGGACTTCTGTACCATAATGTTACTATCTGTATATAAACACTTTCTATTATGATTAAGGTTCAAAAAACTAAATGACAAATTCTTACATCTAATGAATACGATCTCAATGGAATGCTTGTAGTTCGTGCCAGTCCAAAGTCTGCCAATTTAAGCTTTCCATCCAGGGTTAAAAGTAAGTTTTGTGGTTTTAGGTCTCTGTGAATGATTCCATTTGAATGACAGTACAATAAACCATCAACCAGTTGTTTTGTCAAGCTCTGTCCCAAGAATAATTTAAAAATGTTACAAGCTAGAAATTGAAGTAATGCAATATAAATTTTTAACCTTAACAAGAGAAATAGGCAATGTTGTGATTTTCAAACTATTTAAATATTTTTTCAAATCACTATTCAAACACTCAAAAACAAGATAATAACCTTTGGAATTTTTAATAACTTCAAAAAACCTTAAAAAAATTTTTCAAATTATTAAGGCTTTCCAACTAGACAATACTAATTTAATTTGATAAAACCTGACTATGTTTGGATGGTTTAGATTTTTAATTATTGCAATTTCACGAAGAGCAGAACTTGGGATGCTGTTTGTTTGTCTAAGAAATTTTAAATATTGCAATGTGATGTAATTTTCCAAATATTAAATTATTAAAATAAATAAATAATGAAGAAATAGGGAAAAGGATGTTGTTATAGTTTTGAAAAACTCTGAAAAGAAAAATAATACTAAAAATAATTAACACTAAAAATAGCTCTCAACTCAGAGATATCTTTAAAATACACAGGACTGCGCTTGTTGATAGATGCTTGAATTTGCATGTTACACCTATTAAATTGCATGTGATGGAAATCTCAACAGGGCAGGACTAAATGCCTTAAAATTGCTGCGACATCTCGCCTCTCTCGTCTAATCAAATCCAAATGTTAAATAGAAATTTGACATTATTTATTAGTGTGTAAAGTAAAGTAAATGTAAAATTGTAAAGTTAGCTGCTAGAGAAGACTTATTCTGAAATATAAATAAAATGAGACAGTTCAAAACAAACTTTTCATAGCGAATGAACTTCAGAGCGATTATATTGTTATTAAGACAATCTTGTGCCTTGTATACAACGCCGTACGTACCTTCGCCTAATTTTTGTAACTTCTTAAACTTTTTCGTTTCCATTGAACAAACCAAGATCTTTGCTTGAATCCGACTATCTCTGATCAGAAAACAAAGCAGACGCAAATTTACTGAAAGTGAAGCTAGAATCAATTACTTCAACAAAGAGTTTTTAATGAATTTAAACCTTAGATCTTAATGAATTTAAACCTTAGATCTTACAGTTACCTCATCTAAATGTGTAATATTTTTCGTTTAAAAGACTTAACAAGAAAACTTAAAATACACAGACAATTATTTTTTATATTTCTATGTTCTACCTGGATAACTTTCAGTAGCTTTATGTGCCCAATAATTTTAAAGAAAATTAGCCCAAAATTATTTCTTCTTTACAAAAATAAAACTGACAAACGCAGAGGTTGATACAACACGTGAAAATTTTTGTAATAATTTCTCTTGACAAAACTTTTATGCAAAACAAATTTTGCACAAAAACGTTGCTATCTATCGATAATTGATACTTTATTGTTTATTGTATTATACATATTCTTTTTCAGAACTTATTCTAACTTACGTCCTTTCCTATCATATCTCTATATGTATAAAATTTCCATGTATAAAACCGAGAATGTGCTTAAGTTAAAACAATTTTTTCTGTCATATTTCTTCTCTCATCCGTTTTCCGTTTGTCACGTTCTCCTCAATTATTTTTACATTAACTCTTTTTGTCGTTCATTATCAACAAATGGTTACTTCAAGATTGTTCTTGCTTCCAATAATGGAAAGAATGCGATACGGCAATTCCTATACTAAAATTGAAATCACGAAACAAACTAAAACCATCTATTGATAAATTTCATAAGAAGAAAATTATTTTCAATCGCTAGACTTTTCAGATTAAACATTTAGTCAAAAATGAATAAATTTATTTTTTTGGTTCAACTTTTCCACATTTTTATTAAAGTTTCTTATTTTTTGTTGTGCTTTAGATGACATTGACGCGAAGTTTGTTTTAATGAAAGTACCTACCTCAATGTTCAATGAAATAAAGTGAACTTTAGCAATGAAAAATTTTTTAACTGGCACGCACTTTAATTCATTTTTTATGGTATTTCAGTAAAAATTTGTTAACTCGTTTATTTAGGGGCCGTCCATAAAGAATGTCAAGCTTCAAGAGGGGGGAGGGGGTCCAAATATCTGTGACACTGTGACGAGGGGGAGGGGGGGTAAACGCAAGTGTGACGTTCCTTTTTTAAACGATAAATAGATTTTCTTTCATATATATTAAATGAATATTAAAGTTTTCAAGCGAGCAAATAGCTCATGAATATTAATTTAAGGAGTAGTCAAATTTAAATGCCATCGTTAAAGTTAAAGACACTGTGGGCGAACAATCACAATGTTCATCTATAGCATTTTCCAAAAATTATGCTTCAAAACGCCTGTGCAGGATAAGTGA